ATTTTTAACCAAAAAAAAAAGAGAGAAAAAAAAGAAAAATATTTTCATTTAAAAACTCCTATTATAAAGAAGATATACGAATTAAGGAGTCAAGATCTGAACTCCATCGAACTAGTACGAAATTCTTTCGTGCAAATTCTCACGTCAGATATAAGAAAAGGATTACGTATACCCGCATCTGGTTATCAAGAAGATTCCGATAGCTTCAGCTCCTTTCGGTCTAGACGTATGAATTCATCATTGTATATAAAGATTCTTCATTTCATATAAAGATTTCGACCGATTTAATTTCTATGTTCATGTACATATTTGATGAAATGCGATGAATGAAGAGTCAGAATAGACGAATATCGTATTGTCGTATAATATATCTATATATTGTCGTTATGTTATTATTTTTCTATGTGATTAAATTTCTATGTTCATGTACATATTTGATGAAATGCGATGAATGAAGAGTCAGAATAGACGAATATTGTATTGTCGTATAATATATCTATATATTGTCGTTATGTTATATAGTAGTAGAAGAGCAAACATTCTTCGACCCAGAAACATTCTTAGGCCAAAGGGATTCCTTTTTTTTATCGTAATAAATGTCGGAGACAAAATTTCGTGGGCGGTGACCACGAGAACATTTCAAATAAAACGATCCTGTTTGTGGAGTTAGAGTAGACCCGTTCGTCTTTCCTTCTCTGTAAGCACCCATCTTTCCGCCGTAAAACGGTGAAAGAAAAAAGGGAAAAAGAAAAAATAGGGAGAAAGAGAGAGAGAGAGAAATAGAAGATAGAAGATTTCTATGAAAGAAGGTAAACATCGATCTAGATTTTGTTCTAGAATCGAATCAATACTACGAGTAAGTTTTTGCAATCGATCGTACGGATTGCACACCGCTTCGATTTATTTGACAGTAAAAAAAGGGAAAAAATATTGGTTCGCTCTTTTGTATATATCGATTACGCTGTCTTTCCGTAAAACATATTTGTCATGGAAATTTTCAAGGGAAAAACGGAAAGATTCGAACCGAAAATTTAAAAATTGTCACTTTACCATCAGGAAATGAAATAAACAGGCAAATCGTTCAATTCATTCTTCTCCTATTTTCTTATATGGCATTTCCTTCTCGATATGAAAATTCTTTATCGAGTTCCTTGACAAAAGAATCTCTATCAACGATAATTCTTATCGGAATATGAAAATTTCGATTTTATCGCATAGTTAACTCACCAAATTTTCGTTGTTCATATCAAAATTTTTTTTAGTATAAAATCATTCGTATTCTATCATTGTTATTATTTTAAAATTGTTCAGCAGAAATATTTATATTTTTATCTTTCCTTTTTTTTTTTTTATTTATTATTCTTAGTTATTAGGTCGAAAAGTAACGATAGTTTGAAATTAAAAATGTTCAATATCGAGGATAGGTCGGTAGATCTCTAGCTTTCGTTTGCCTTTGTCACACCTCCGAGATTACATTATTCGTAGGAAAATCTCATTAATGTAATCCTCGTATATTCGTTTCGTCTCGACTCTACACCAAGAGTCGATCGTTCGCGTTAACGACCCTAGTTAGAGATTACGGCCAGCGTATTATCGCGTCGTTCTAATAAATTATTCGCGATAACATTGTTTAAAGCTCCTCCTCTTCATTGAAGTTGTAAACGTGCAATTCGCGAGACTAATCGTGCGAAACGTTTCTCGTTAAAATGACATTATTAAGAACCTTTGAAAAGAATGAATCTTTCGAGCTTTTTTCTTCAAGCTTCGATACAAAGAGAAAATTGTGATGCTACGAAAATGACAAAAATTATTTTTCTTTCCTGTTCTTTTAAGTAAATAGAATGAATATGAGAGCATGTTTATGTATAAGAAAAAGATATATAATTTTAGATGAATGCGCGCGCGCATTGTATATCTATATATATGTGGGTAGGTGTATCATATGAATCAAGGCCTAAATCGATACTTACCTCCTCAGAATTCTAAAACCATGACTCAGAGTTCGTATATTAAGTTGTTTCGTCTCTATATAAGTAGATCTTCTTGTACCTATGTGAGTAAAAAATAATGGCGCTATCTCTCTCTCTCTCTCTCTCTCTCTCTCTCTCTCTCTCTTCATCTTAAAGAGGTAACCAGATATTATGAACTTTGACAATCAGTTGCCAAGATTGGATGGAATATGACAAGAAGAGGCTTCGACATTTGCATGAAAAGTATCGACTTCAATTGCCAGATTCTAGGTTAAAAATTGAATAATTTATGTCGTGTTCGATCGTTCGCTTATAGATACGTTCTCAAGAAGAAATTAAAAGGTGCCTTCGTACGCGATATATACCGGATAAAAAAGAAAATGCCGAGTTTGCTTCTTCTCTCGACCACCGTTGATTCTACCGCGATTTTGTCTTTCGATCAACTTTTCTCTGAAGATTGCGAACGTGGTTATTGTTCTTCATCGATTATCGAAGATAAAATTGCTATGACAAAGTCGCGGTAAAAAAGAAAAAAGTAAAAAACAGAAAGGGAGATAGATAAAGAGAGAGAAAGAGAGAGAGAGAGAGAGAGAGAGAGAAAGAGAGAGAGAGAGAGAGAGAGAAAGAGAGAGAAAGAGTGAAAGAAAAAAAGAACCAAATTAAATGAGAAAGAAAAAAGCTTTCAGTATGAAAATATTACTTGAAATATTCTATGTAAAGAAGGAATCGGTAATAACCATGGAAGAGTCACTCGGCATAATTTAGCACAGAATTTTAATGGAAACTCTATGGTGTTATTCGAAGGAAAGATAAGAGTCTTCTATCAATCTCTGTTCTGCACTTTTACGTTTATGAAATTTTATTAGTATTGCATTTTGATCTTTTTCTTTTTTTTTCTCTCTCTTTTATAAAAGTCGATAATTATTTCGCATAGATAACATTTGAATGCAGAATTCAACGAGCAATACTTTTTCTTTCCTTTTCTGTTCTTTTTTTCTTTTTTTATTTCTGCAATAACTGATAAACGTGGAAATGGATAAAAGAACTTAGGCATGAATTTCGAATGCGTTGACGAAAGAAAGTCGTCTTATTACAATCGAAATACCGCGCGACTTTGGTTGACAATGAGTAACCGTATCTTCCTAAAGCTTTTAAGCATATTAAAATTCTTCATATCACGACATCGAGTTATAAATCCTTAATGCTGTTACTACGACGGAGGTTCGCTTCCGCTCACGGCATGCCATTGAGAACTTTATTAAGCATGGATTTTACGACCGGATAGCTGGGCTCGCGTGCCGCTTATACATGACAAAATTGCCACTACGGCGCCGGAATTATAATAATCCTCTGGTTTGTTGGTAGGTTTAAAGAAAAAAAAGAAAAATAAAAGAGAAAAAAAAAACAAGAAAAAAGTCAAATTTTCTTTCTTCTCTTCTCTTTTTTTTTCTTTTTTTTACGCATAGAATTTAGTCTCGTTGCATTTTCAAAATTCTCCAAATAATTTTGTTGGTTTAGAAGGAAGAAAGAAAATTCATTTTTTCGTTAAAGAATTCTTTAGCATATTTATTGGAAAGACGTCAGGACGAATAAGTGAAAAATGCCATGGAAAAACTTTGAAAATATTCATGAAGTTTTATGAGGAAATGCGTTTTTCGCAAGACATGCGGGAGGTACTGAAGGGAGAACGACGGTATCACACGTGACAGAATTATAATATTCTCTTGAAACTTTTACAAACGGCTTTTCTTCTATCTTTGTCTAAGTTTAATTCGAATAATACAATGTTCGGAATATTTTTATATCCCTTTAAAAAATTCATTTTCAAAGTTACTAGGTTTCTTTGTATACTTCATTCATTATATAAGAAAAAACAAAAAACAAAAATAAAAAAAAAAGAAGAAATTTCATTAGAGGAAATTATTTAATTTGTGGAATAAAATGTCCATATTCTATCTTCCGTTTTGTCCGATGATCATTATTGAGCTAGATGAGAAATTAAAGACACCTCTGGATGAGAGTTCACAGATAAAGCTTCCGATTAAATTCGGAAGCTTTCGCTGCTTACTCGAGCGTAGTTTGTTCGAGCTCGATTTATTCGCTTCAAAGTGGAGATCGCCGAAGATACTGTTAATTTAATGAAGCCGAACATTTATTTGAAACTTTGACATGTGCTCTTTGTAAAGTCAGTTAGTTGTTCGCAGTTTTTAGATCACTATCAGACTTAATACAACGGTGTTGTTGCTCCAATTAAGATATTGAAGCTACTTTGTTATTTCCATCTTCGTATTTTATCGACGAGGATCGTAATCATAAATTTTGGACTTAGTCCGGTTTTGTCCATAGTCTGGTTTTGTGGACACGAAAACCATTTGTTAGTATCTCAGTTGTGGGTTTCGGCTTTTTTTTGTTTTGGTAACAGGATAGAATGCGTTCGGTTCCTGTTCAGTTCCTGTTCGGTGCTTGTACAGTTCCTGGTTAGCTTTTTTGTTTTAAAAACAAAACATATACGCATCGGTTGTGTCAGGAAATCCTCGGTCTAACACGAGCTGTCGGTGAAGAAAGGCGTATATATGTAGTTTCTTTTTTGTTTTGTATACCTTTGTCAACCTTTTTGTTCTGAACAATCGTATATAACTTCTCTCAAAGAATGAATGCTCAGATACGAATAACGCATACGTATATATGCCATTGAAAAAAATTACGCTAACGATCATATAAAAAAAGAGTATCGGGTAAAATAAAATGATAAAGTGCTCAGTACGTTATCGTACATTGAATCATCAATAATATACTATGCTCATAGAAAGCACATTATTGTTAAAGCACGCAAGAACATAATGGTTAAATTATAAACTTAACAGGTTTATTTTTTGGTTTCTTATATTTACATCATATCATTAGCAATTTTAGCGTGTAAATAAAGTTCATCGTATTTAATGATCTTTCAACTATCGAAATTGTATTAACTCTTTTAATTTTATCTGCCACGTTTAATTACGTATCATGTTCATTAAAGACTAAACTTACCGATTCTGATGACAGGTGGCAGCGACATGGCAGTGGTGACCAGGATGACGATTACGGCGAACAACAGTGCCATCATGTCCGACGTGAGCTCGCTTCGCAGCTGCACGATTACAGCATTGTTTCTGCTTGACACACGTTCGTAGAGAAGAGAGCAAAAAACTCGGCAAAGCGTACGAACGTATGCACGCGATACACGGCTATGTTAACACTTTCACAGAAAATTACGCGCTAACGAAGATCCATCGACCTACGTGAACGTTCTTCCGGGCCACGCGATCGTCCATCTTGCTTTAAGCCTGCAATCAGGATAGGAACAATTTTTACGTTTATCGAACATTTCGATCGATCATTTTAATAGTCGAAATAAAAGGTTCGTATTTGTAAATCGAAGCATTTCAATCTGGAAAGTCGTGTATCTATAATAACTTGATCGTAAATTTTTCAAAAAACCATGATGACGTTATCAAAAAACGTGTTAATTTCTTCCTTTTAATCATCGTTCGTTATTTTTTGTCAACTTCAGAATATAACTCAAATTGATTTCTCCCATTAGCGATAAAAATGACATAGCTGCGATTTCGCCCTCGTTCGTTAAAAATAAATTGCGTGGAAACAACGCACGATTAGTTTACGGAATTACACAAGTGATCGATTCTTTCGAGTCGCGCATGAATTAAATTCTCGGTCGTTGATTTGTATCCTACGTAGGATACAAGTCTCGTAATTTAATCGGAAATATATCATAGGTACGTAATTCTTATTAAAGGAATACGAATGGAATAAATTCTTTTTTTTGTTTTTTTCTTTTTCTTTTATTTCAAATATATGCGTATTCACATGCGTATTCAGATAAGTACACATGTAGCAATTATATCGGATAGTAAAATACGAGAAATTCGTCGATTAAACATTTAGCAAAGGTATTGAAATTTTCTGAATGGATAATTTTTCTAACGATCATAAAAAGAAAAGAGAAAAATGTTAACGATTCTACTAACGAATCTGTTTCAATAAGAAAAATACAAATGTTGTATCGTCAAATATAAGTTAAACTTTCGAAGTAGAGGACAGACGAGTGAAGTAAGTAATCTCATTATAAAGACGGTATGATGGTAGAATATCTAATCGAGAGACCTACTTTTTGTAGACGGAAAAGCGCACAGCAGCACGCAAAGTGCAATTGAAGTTATCGATTTCTTCCCTTGAGTATAAAATGTATCTGAATACTAACTTACGATTAAAATGAAAAAAAAAGAAAAAAGAAATGAAAAAAAAAAGAACAAAAAAGTGTACTTCATTATCCATTTGATATCTATTTATAAAACAATATTGACAATTTTAACGAATTAAACATTTTCTGTAAAAATTCAATTGCATATCGTCTGAATATGCATAGTACATGCGATAGCTAGAGTGCGCGTATTAAGCGTGTTCTTATGTAAAAGAAGTTCATTGTTATCCTTCTGATAACACGAGCAAGTAGCGAGATATCTCTAGGGTGAAATCACGCATACTATCAAGTCCATTCCCAAAGGCGCGTTTTCTCTATGAGAGCAAAAAGAGAAAATTCAGTGTGCTCTCGGTACTATCTTTATCTCAGAGGAATGTCAAAAGGATCGCTTTGTTATTTATAAAGGAGTATCCTTCGAAAAGCGTTTTCGACCTTCGAGACGATCCCGACTATAAGATAAGGACACTCCCTCTTAACTCGATATCTTTTTGGTCTTAGTGAGAGAATCGGTATCTCGAGTTTGTTAGATCTTTGATATAAAAGAAACATGAAAGAGAACTATTCTTTTATTAGAAGTGAATAGAAAAAGAAAATGAAAATGAAAAATATGAAGAAAATTAACACACCGAGTGCCATTTTATTTTCAAGATCTTTTTTATGACATTCAACAGATCCAAAATTTAATTAAAGTAAAAAGAATGAAGATGATTTTTATTTCAAACTAATCTGCCGAGGTGTTAAACCTGGACAGATTATTTTTACACTTGCTATTTTCTCTCAAAGAAATGAAATCAGAAGCGAATGTCTAGTACATAAAAAAAAAGAAAGAAAAAGAGAGAAAAGTCTTTCTCTTTCTCTCTCTCTCTCTCTCTCTCTCTTTCTTTTTCTCTTTCTCTCTTTCTCTCTCTCTCTCTCTCTCTCTCTCTTTCTCTTTCTCTCTTTCTCTCTCTCTCTCTCTCTCTTACTCTCTCTCTCTCTCTCTCTCTCTTTCAATGTCATTCAAAAACGTACTTCTTCTTAAGGATTGAGTAGAATCTAGTGTTGACCTCATACGGTTCTACTATTAGAGTTAGCCCGCACAGCGTAAATTGTAAAGGGATTCGTGTTAACCCAATTTAGCAAGAGAGCCAAGTTTGCCTCTCGCCGCGCTACGTTTGTTTGCCCTTCGAAGCTTCCACGCGTGGCCTTAAACGCGTAAACGCGCACGCGCGAAAACCTTTCGATCGAGTGACCATGTAATCGCATTGACAAGTTCGTCGGATACTTTTCTTCTCGAACTCGTTTCGATATTGCATTTTGAAGAAGTTTCGATTGGTTCTTTTTTTTTCTCAAAAAACCAAATCGATCGTTCAGACCTTTTAAAAATCATACGAGCGATAAAGAGAGTAGGACGATGCCGAATAATACGTTGTCTAAGAAATATAGAAAGTTATTAGTAAAGCTGAGAAGATAGCTGAGTTGGAGGATACGAAACGTAGCAATTCCGGATGTAAGATATTCAGAGAGAACTCACGAGTCTCTCGAGGCGGAACAGCTGCTAACGAAGCTTATCGTCCGCGGGAATAGAAATCGGGCCGAGGCGAGGCTTTTAAAGCTCTGAGTCCGTACAGTTCGAGAACGAGGGGTGCTTTTCGTCTCGGGGGAACCAAGAAGAATTTAAGAGAGAGAGAGAGAGAGAGAGAGAGAAAGTAACTTCGCTTTACTTTTTCGACGATAAAAAGTGAACAGCGTTGTCCCTTTGCCGGCTTTACGATCAAGTGGAATTAACGGACTGCGACTGGCACTGTCTTAGATCGTAAATGAAAGTAGGCCGACTCTTGGTAATAACGATTAAGCTTTTATCTTCGACAAAGTGAAATGTCTAACTTCTCTCTCTCTCTCTCTCTCTCTCTGTTTCTCTCTTTCTCTCTTTGTTCTTGAAAATCTACAGGTCTATCTTCTTAACTGGTTAAACTTCTATTTCAACTCATTCTCTTTTTTTTTTGTCTCTTAGAAAATATATATATACACGTACACACACACACACACACACACATATATATATATATATATATATCTACATACATATATATATATATATATACACATACACACACACATATATATATACATATAAATAAATAAATAAATTGTAAATATTAATTGTAAATATAATTATTGTAAATATAAATTGTAAATATAAATTGTAATAAAATAAATTGTGAGTAGTGAATATATATTTTATCTAACAACTTTTGATAATAATATATACATAATAGATGATAATAATATCTTCTTAAGTAATTGATCGTACATATTTATGTATGTATGTATGTATATACATATATACGTATGTACATACATATATACGTATGTACATACATACATATATAGATACGTACAAAAATGTATATTTACGTGCTTCATGAAACTATATTTTTGGTCGATATGGAATAAATCATCTAACTCGAAGAAGAGAAATGTGTAAAACACGAAGGGTATGCTCGACAAACTAAGGGAAAAGTTCATGTTGTTTCGTTCCTTCATCTAACGTGTAAGAAAAGAAAGGGATGTAATTTAAAAGTTAGAAAAATGCTTGCCCTTATCCCAGAAGGTGTAAAACCGTATATTATTTATCTCGTTTCCTTTTAAGTTTCTTTTATTTTTATTTTTTTCAATTTTTTTTTCTCTCATGTAACTGCTCTACATACTCATTTACCATTGAAAACATTTTCTTTATTAACATTTTATTTTTTTTTGCTCGTCAAAAAAAAAAAAAGAAAAAAGAAAAATATCGGCTTTATATTCTTTTTAACGAACATTTTACACTTCTTGACTTAAATCGTTTTAAAATCGCTTTTTAGTTTTAAGCGTGAAGCAAAGTTTGTCGAGAGGAATTGTGTACTACCTTTGATGCTTTTTTAAAGTAATATTTCTTTCTTTTTTTAATAATTCTTTTTCAAAAAAATACCATGCTAAAGTTACAAAGGAATTTGTTATATTTTTCTTCTTTCGAAGTATGTTTATGCCTGTCGAAAAAATAAAAGACCGCGATTTTGTTACTGTTTTTCTAAAAGACATATTACATTTGAATAAAGAATAATATTTTTAATATTATGTGATTTCTTGAGTCATTAAATGCAGTTTTAGCATACAATAGTTTAGAATACAACGTATTTTAAATACGTTCCATTTTCTTTTTTAGATGAAAAGAATCGAATTAGATGAAAGAGACGAATTTTATTTAACCGTATTCATTACATTAACGTTCACGTATTAATGTTCAATAAGAAAAGGAAGATGAATAGAAAACGGAGAAAGATCAAAAAATATTTAAATAGGAATAAAAACAAAATCTTTTAGATAATGTTCAAAAGATTTTACTTTGATATTTGACGTTTAGTTTTATGTAATGCAATGTAATTAACGTTCCATCTAGTATTTCTAAGGGTATAATTAACATTGTTTTTTTTCTTAATTAAAACGTCCATATAATAATAATTAAAATATGTTTTGAATTTTGAAAATAAAAAAAATGTAAGTATATGTTAAGATAAAAGATATATGAAAAACATATATATATATATATATATAAAAACGTATATATATATATATATATATATATATATATATATATATATATATATATATATACTATGAAAAACATTTAAAAGCGATTTCGAACAATACATCATTCGTAGCTTAAATGTAAACTCATGTTCGTAGCTTAAATGTAGAAAAATTTCGTACGGATTTTCTCCGTGAAGAATTTGTACAACTGTGATTTTCATCATAGCGAAGCGTGACTCGTCATCGAGTAACTAATGATAGGAGAACATTGTAACTTTTTCCTCTAGACCTTACTTGACTGTCGTCTCGTCTAGAGTTCCGATGTGATCAAGAAAGACGACGAGAAAAATACAATGGAAATGGGAAAATTTTTATCTCGATTCTAGTTCTCGTAGACATTCGAGGGTGAATCAAGACTTATGTGGTATAATATATATAATCACATAAAACGAACAAAACAGGATATATATATATATATATATATATATATATATATATATATATGTATATACGTAATATGTATATACGTAGATGTATATGTATGTATATATAGAGAGAGAGTATAATGATTTCGTGTTCATTAATTGTAGTTTAATAGTAGATGAGTTATTTGAATTATGTGTAACCTAACATCGCTAAAATGTTAAGTGCATAATGATGATAAGCTGTTATAATCTTGTTAATCGATCGTATAAAAAATCCTTAAACGTATACGTATTTGTAACAAAGTGATATTTATCGATCTACCTTGTGCGATTTACATCAGGAAACGTCTCAATTTCATCACTCTAGGAATTCTATAACCATGATCACTTTATATGTTGTCCTGAAGTTTTGCCAACCAGTGTCCTTTTTATGTTTAAAATCTCATAAATCACGAATATAAGAAAGAAGGCCCGATGTGTCATTCGTTCATTCGTCCAATCAATTTACTAAACACTTACTCTTGTTCAGTCTTGTCCTGCGTAACATAATTATCGTGCATTGAACAATTCGCATAGTTCTTCCAAATCACGAGGCCTATTTGTTCTTCACATAGCGCATTCGAAGACGATCGATCGTGTGGTCCGCATTACACTTTAACGAACAAATAAAAAGAATAGAATCAGGCAAACTTTTCCACATAAATTCTAGAATAATATTTCCAAATTCGTTTAATTAAATAAAAGGGGTTGTATCGCTCGACGAGATCGATCGGTCAAACAAAAGAAATATATTCGAAATATCTCTCATAGGAATTTCACAAATTTTCACTTGAGAGAAACGTTCTCTCATTTGCAGATTTTCCAGGAAGCTCACATAAATAACATTGTCGTTATCCTAATCCGTATCACTTGGCCGTAGTACATTCGTGTATTGTCCATTTCGAACACTATATTGAACGTTTCGATCAAAGTTAGCACTAAGTAAAAGGTTTGCCTTAACTTTAGTTCGTTCAAGAGTATAGTTCAAAAGTAATTCGCGATATTATCAAATATGGAACAAAGTGACGTCCTTTTTGGCAGAATCATACTTAGAGTAGGGGGGAAGGGTGGTGGTAGTTTCTTTTTTTTCTTTCTTTTTCTTTCTTCCTTAGAAAATAAACGAAAGATAAAGCTGATTGAGATTATTTAAAGGTATTAAGAGAAGGGGATATTGGTTTGAAGGTTTGGAAGATAAAAGACGGCACAGACTCTTTCGAAGGTTGACACGCGAGCAAGAGAACCTTCCCGTTTTTGGTACGCGCAGTCCGTTGATCGCGAAAGACGCGCGGGCACTGGCTCCGGCAGGACTTGCCGCCACCCCCGGACGAGTGCGCGGACCGACGCTCCGCACGATGGTGGGTGGCTGCCTGGCTTACAACGGGGTTCGTCCACGGGGGATGACTGTTGAGCTCAACGGAGGGATGTGAAAGAGAGAAGGAGAGGGAGGGAGAGAGAGAGAGAGAATCAACGAGGACGACGACGACGACGCCGACTACGCCGACGACGACGCCGACGATGACGACGACAACGCCTAAGGCCGATAGCAAACGAGTACAAGAGAGATGGACTACGAATGGAGGGGTTGTAACTTAAAAGGAACAAGAATGGATAGATTCCCGATGGTGGGAAGCAAACCACATGCAACTCGCGCGCCCTCTCTGTACTATTTCTTACTCTTTCTCTTTTTCTCTCTTTCTGTTTTTCTCTATCTTTATCTCTGACTGTCTCTTCATCTCTCTTTCTCACTACTTTTTTTAAAGAAGGACCAAAGTCAAGATCTCTTCGAGTTGATCGATTCGAACGACCCTGACCACCGCGCCAAATCCAGGTCTTTCGCTAAACGTTCCGTTATCAAATTTTTCTTCCCTTAAAAGTTATACTTTAGTCGAAAATTCTCGTTTTTTCAAAAGAATTTTTGAAAAAATTTGAACTACAGAGTGCTCGATGTTAAATCATTTCCATTCGTTTTGATTTGCTCTGCTCTTATAATAGGGAATATAATTCGCATTGGAAAATATAGAGGCGACGAAATTAAGTGAAACGTTAAGGGTTGTTCAGCGAGCGACTCGAGGGTACGAGCCGTAACCGCGAAGCCAGGCAAGAGTGAGATGGAGAGGGGTGAGAAGAACGGAGACGGAAAGAGAACGGAGGGTGCGAACGAAGCGACGATGAAGAGGGTTGATACGAGTGTTTGAGAGAGACAAAGACAAAGAGAAAGAGAGAGAGAAAGACAGAGAAAGACAAAGAAAGAGAGAGAGAGAGAGAGAGGAAGAGAGAAAGAGGGAGAGAATGAGAGAGATAGTACGCGCACGCCTAAGTCGTCGCCTCCTTCCGACACCCCTGGAGAACCGAAGATACCATACCAAGAACCAAAGTCGTTTTATCTGGGTTAGTGAACGTCGACCCTGACCACCTCCTACGTAAAGAGGATTGAAATAAACTCACATTTATCAAGCGTTCCATTCTTACGTAAGCGTATCTACTTTTCACTGCCATTCGGTTAGTACTACCGAAAACTTTTGAAAAATAGTTTTCCGGTTTTGCATAGTTCACTTTCGTATTGTTTGTTCTCAATCTTGGAATATCATTTGATTTTTTGAGAGAACTGTTAAAACTGTTAGAACTGTTAATAGTTAGAATTAAAGAAAATGAAAAACAAAAAAGAAAAGAAAAAAGTAACGAAATCTTTTGATAATTAGACGATCTTTACTAGAATCTTAATGGGGATTGAATTTTCGGAATTATCGAGTTTTTCTCGTTAACGATTTCTTAGTAATTACATCGCGATTCAACCTTTATTCGACAAAGAGATAAGGATTTGAAATACGGTTAATTGTCGCAATAAACCCATCGTTCTCGTTTCCTTTCAATTTAGAGAATCTTTATATTCTTAGCTTAAAGAATGTTGGAAGAAGGGAGGTAGGGCATGGTGCTGATGGCAAACGGCTGTTGTTTTCCGACTGACGAGTGAAATTGAATGAAAACGGTTGAGTTGGCTAAGAGCTAATGGCCGAGCATATTTCTCTTCTCTTCTTCATTCATTCATTCATTCATCGCGCTAAATCGGAACAAAGAAGAACTTTTAATGAGTTTCTATCGTTCCTAATTCTAGAGATTTTCACCCTTTAGGCTTATCGCTGGATCTTCGCCATCGAGTCGAACGTTTGCGTAAAGAGATTTTTGATGTCCCCTTTATGTTTTTGCTTTATCTTCCTTTCCTTTTTTTTTATTATCCACTTTTTAGGAACGATTACTTTCGTCGATTTGTTCGAATTGTCAAAAATTTCGTCAATTTACATGCGAAATTGTGTTAAATTATTTAAAAAGGAAAGAAAGAAAAAAAAAGAAGAATTTAATTACTCCCGAGTGTTTTCAATGAATTTTGAACGAGTTGGCAAAGTAGCTCGTAGAATTCTTAAGCGTTAATTTCGCATCGTTTTAGTACGTATGTTAAGTACGTTAAGTAGTACGTATTATGTACGTATCCATCGTAGAAGATGTCTATTCGACGCGACATCTTCGGAAAGGACAAGAAGACGTCTTGGCAAAAGTCCAGGAAAACTGCTGACAAGCGCTTCCGCAAAGATGTAGCTCGGTTTGCATGACACGCTCGACTAACGGGCTAGCAAATTCGTGTGGCAGCATGTGTGCAAGAAAGGAAGATATTACTCATCGTCGAGCGTAACGTAGGAACATTACCGATAAGAAGACCATTTTCTTGACAATCCAATTCTGTCTGTTAAGTTCGACGATAGGATAGAAAATTAAAGTTTAATTTTTCGAGAAACAAAACAAAAAAAAAATATATATACATATATAAATAATTTCGAACGAATGAATAGCTCGTTAATGATATTGTATAATCTACGAGATAAAAAGTAAAATCGAAAGAAATAGAAAATTAAATCGAACATTTTCTCGCGCGTTATGATGTTTTACGTTATCGAGAAAGTAATTTTTCATAATTTATGAGTCGCAATATTCGCTGCGGCTCGTTAAAGGGACGACGAGGTAAAATTGGACACGTTTTTCGTGAATATTCAAAAATCCAGGGAATATCTCGAACAATGAACGGGAGTAGACACTATAAAAGCATTTAATTTCATTATACGTATTTGCAGTACGTGAGGGTCCAGGCGTTTTTATTATTTACCGATTCAACTCATACCATTCCGTTGTTCGCACGATTCCAAAAAGAATACACCGAATCCAGTCTGATTAAATAGCAAATAATATCACACGTTTCCGGATTACAAATTCTCTTCGAGTTTTACGAATCAAATTTCTCATGATTTATACGAAACGAATAATCGAAGAAATAATATATATCTATTCTATCTATCTAAATTTAAGGCAATATAATCTACAAAATATTCACGAACGAATATAAAAGAATTTTTTTAAACATTTTAGAAAGCTATTCTACGATGTCTTATATTTGATATCGTTCTCCCTCTCTCTATCTCTCTTTTCTCTCTTTCTCTCTCTCTCTCTCTCTCTCTCTCTCTCTCTCTCTTGATAAAAAAAGAATAAAAAGAAAAAGGAAAAAATATCATTTCACATAAAGGGAAGAAAAAAGACAAGTTGTAACGACCACGTCGACCTCGATTGTTCTTTTCTCGAGAAAACGCAATACTCTTTTCTCGCCGCAATGCGTTAATCGTTTGCTGGAAACGATAAAAATGAGAGAACGCACTCTTTCAGCTTCTCTGCATCGCTCTCTCTCTCTCTCTCTCTCGCTCTCTCTCTCTCTCTCTCTCTCTATCTGTTTCTCTCTCCTTCTTTCTCTTTCTCTTTCTTTATCTCTTTTCTCCCTACTTTCTTTCCCCTTTTCTGTATCTTTTTTCTTTCTTTCTTCCTTTCTTCCTTTCTTCTTTCCTTTTTTCTTTCTTCACCTATCCCGTCCTCATCGTTTTCATCAAAACGTTTTCGAAGGAGTTCAGTTCATGGCGGAATCAAACGGGCGCATTGCCCGAAGGTACGAAATATCTCGTATTTGCGCGCGTATCCCTCTGGATTATTTCCTCCTCTCTTTTCCCCTTCGCAACTCTCACGCCATTCTACTGACGCGCGCATCGTTTCTTTTTTCCTTTTCTCTTTTTTTTTCCTCTTCCTTTTTTTTTCTTCCTTTTTTCTCTTTTTTTTTTTTCGTCGCAATCAGACTGTTCCAGTTTCGACGAAAAGCTTTATGATCCTTCCTCCCTTTTTTTCTCTACTTTACGCTTACGATCAGCCGACATTACGTGCGCTATGCCATGAGTATGAAGCTTCTGTCGAACTTCTGCTTCTACTTATTTCTCTCGAAAAGAGTGCACCACGTGATTACGGTTTGAACATTTCTTTTTCCTTTTCTTTTTCCCTTTCTTTTCTCTTCCTTTTTCTTTGTTTTTACGATATATTTTTTAAAGAGATCGACATTATCATTTTTAAATATTTTTAAATATTTGCGAATAGAACGTAAATTCGGTCAGTACGATTCAGTATTTGACAACCCTTGTCACGTACTATATGCGTAAAATAAGTTCGCTCAAACTCGAACAACTCGGCTGTGTTCGTTCGCGTCGATATTTGAAAGCATTGTTCATAAAGCTGTCTGTCGCTTATATTGATTGCCAGGACCTTGGATCGCGGCCAAATTGTCCGCTGCTCTCTAACTCTCTAGCCCGTTCTTACCGACTAGGAGGATTCATCCTTGACTGAGTATCTGCTTTCTCTCTCTCCCTCTAACACATTTTCTCTCTTTCTCTCTCTTTCTCCCACTCTCTCTCTCTTTCCCTTTCTCTTTTTTCTCTCTCATTCTTCTCTCTCTCTCTTTTCTTCCTTTTCATCGTATCCTGTTAACGCTTCTTCTGTCTACCACTTTTCTCCTCCACTCTTTTCTTTCCACCCTCTCATCGACGCTAGAGAAGCGTCGGTGAGAATAGAGAAAAGTTAGGAGCAGTTTCATCTACCCCCTCGAGCATCATCGTTCTTTCGTTTACCCGTGAATTCGAGCCCTCGATCTTTTCGTCACCGTTCCATCCTATTCTCTACTTTTTCTCATTGCAAAAGACTCATCCTTTCTTTTTTACGTTTTCCTTTTCATTTTTTCTGTACGTTACATTTGTTCCATATTTGTCACTTTGAGAAAATAATGAATTGGTTTCTTAATTACAATTTATGTGAGTCGGAGGAGGGGAGAAATAGTATCGTAGATTTTTATAAAGAGTCTCTTTTATCGTGGTATAAAATAGAATCAAAAAAAAAAAAAATATATGTATATACGTCGTTTAAGCGACCCGATAGAGCCCTCTAAAAAGAGGAGAAAGGGTAGGCAAAAGGAATGATATACGTCGACACCTCTTTCTAGACTGGCCATTAGATAGACCATTAATTAAGGTGACAAAAGCAAAGGTCGACTGAAGGTAAAGATAACGTTGAGAAAAAAAGAAAAAGAGAGTGAGTGAGAGAGAGAGAGAGAGAGAGAAACAGAAAGAAAAAAGAAATAAAAAAAAAA